GGGGAGAGAGAGAGAGAGAATCTCAAGCAGACTCTGTGCTGAACACAGAGCCTCATGCAGGGCTTAATCTCATGACCTTGAGATCACGACCTGAGCTGAAACTAAGAGACGCTCACCCGACTGTGCCACCCAGGTGCCCCATCCAAAGAAAATTTTTATTGCTTCTACCAGGCACTTGAAGGCACCAACATTCCAATATTACCCTAATCCCATTTCAGGCTTGAGATTTTCCAGGCCACCCAGATGATTCAGAGAGACTACAGTACATGCAAGGGCTGGCTAACTTCCAATTCACTCTTATTTCTAGTGTCTGTCAGCCTCAACTCAGTCTCAACTCAACTTAGGCTTGTCTCCCTAGCCCTAACAGGGCTGTTAAACCTCTCAACCACCTGCTCTGGATCACCACACATCCTCGGGACAAAATGACACCAGTACCATGCTCATCTTTATGGATTTTCATCTTCTCCAGGAACTTAACCTGGTAATTCCTCACTATTTGTTAGTTTGCTATTTCTAGAAAGGTGATTTTATATTTTGTTCAGCATTTTAGTTGTCTTCAGTGGGAGGATTTTTCTAAATGACTTAACTTATCATTCCTGGAAGTGGAAGACTAACCTTAATTTTTCATCTCCTACTTACCATCCTGTGACTTTTTGAGGAAGCACAGACATAGTGAGACAATGAAAGTTGGGGGTTTGGTATTACCCTCTCCATTAATTTGTTGTGTGGTTTACCTAACATTTGACCCTCAATTTTGTGGAAGCAAATTAAAATTAACACATGCCCCCAAATTCTTTACAGAAATTTAAGGAAAATGTTCAAGGGAATTAAACAATACATATATCACTGAGGCCTGAAAGAATTTTTGTGCTCTTCTCCAAAATGGCTTAGTCTGTGCTGGTAAACATAGCAAATGGACAACCTTATAAACTAAACCAAAAAAATTTTGATTACCGGGCGCCTGGGTGGCTCAGTTGGTTAAGCAACTGCCTTCGGCTCAGGTCATGATCCTGGAGTCCTAGGATTGAGTCCTGCAACAGGCTCCCTGCTCAGCAGGGAGTCTGCTTCTCCCTCTGACCCTCCCCCCTCTCATGTGCTCTCTCTCTCTCATTCTCTCAGATAAATAAATAAAATCTTTAAAAAAATTTTTTTTGATTACCTAATTATTCAGATTTAATCCAGATCTTAAAGAGGATTACATTTGATCCTGTTTTGTATTAGTCCCAGGTGACATATTTTTTCTATTGGGCTTTCTTCTAGATCATGAAATAATCTATGAAAAAATAAGAATCCCCTTGCTGTCAAATATTTTTGATAAGAGCTGTTTTACTCACACAAATATGGAGCTTTCAAATCTGTATGAATGTCAAAGATTATAAATTACGTTTTGGATAATTGTGGAAAGTTTAAAACATGGCTAATGTGAGATGGTACTGTAAATGTGTTAACTGGAATAGACTAGGTTATGCTGCAGGATTAACTAATCCCCAACTTCCACTGATGTAACCCACAAAAGTTTACATTTCACTGACAAAAAGCTGGCTGCAGGTACTGGGGCTCTTCCTGACACCTCCCTTCCAAGCGCGCCCGACATCCAGGCTGTTCCATCTTGTAGTTACACCATCTCCAGGTCTAGCTTCTCCTGTTGTGGCGGCAGGAAAAGAGAGAAGCATCAAGAACTAAAAAGTGCTCTTCCCTTTATTCTTTGTCCCAGAAGTGACACATGTCGCTTCTACTCGCAGCTCACTTGTCATAACTCATCACATAGACCCGTCTAACTGCAAGGGAGCTAGGAAATATATGGGAGCACATGGATATTCAGTGACTAATAAATTATAATAAATTACTTCACTTTAAATATGATTGAACTTAACATGAACTCCTTGAAATATTTCCAAGGAAGAGTTATTCCTGAAATAATAGGAAATCCATGGTGTGATTTCCAGTATTTGAAAAAGCAGGTCCTCTGCTGTGTCTCCCCCCACAATGGTTAATTTTTTAGGAGGTTCTGACAGCCTCAAACATAAAACACAGCATGGAGCTTCGTTTATTCTTGGATAGTTGCCTTATATTTAAAAGGAAGGAATTGGACTGATTGATCTCTAACGTCACTTAAGAGCCCTCGAAAACACTGTTTAACATCTCCAAAGTTATTTTTTATTTTAACTTGGAATAATTCTTTTTCAGAATTCTGTTTTTTTAACTAAAACTTTAACTATGCACCAGCCCCTTGGGGATAAAAAAAATTGTTTTTGATAAGTGAACTAGAGCTCTTATGCATCTGGTTTTTGTCACACGGGATTTCTATCCAAGGACCTTCCCCTTTTTTTTTTCTTTTTAATGAAGGTATTTTGTTAGGCAGCATAGTTAAAAAACGGAATTACCATTCCTCAGGTGCAATGGCAAGATGTGAGATCAGATTATTCAAAAAAAAGTTAACATGACCTTATGTCATTAAAACTTCACTCTCCATATATAACTTAGCACATCTGAGTTCTAGTAAGAGAATTTTGCTAAATTTGTTAATAATGTTTCCTGTGTTCTGTTTATTGGTAAGAGACTGAGAGACTATTGGTGATAGTCTCTGGACTTGTGGTTGAAAAATCAGATCCTATAGGGTCTAAACAGGTCGACGAAGCAGATACGTGGTGTTTGTGAGGACAGTCAAGAATGGGAGCGAACTTGTTTAAAGTGAGGATCCAGTGTCAGCATGTTGTTGTTAGGCAAGAATTTGGGACCAGTGTTGCCAGATCTTCCAAATTAGGAATGAAGGATAGAGAGAAGTGAAGAAGGTAAAGAGGCCGCTGGCTTAGAATAGAAGAGGCAAGGGATTGTTGCAGGGAGGGAGAAAAGCTACATCTCACTTCGGACTCTTGGCTTCCCTCTCTCACTCAAGCAATTTCTTCCGTAGGCAAGGTTAAAGAGAGAGAAACCAGGAAAGCAAAGTCTGCGGGATACATGAAAGTAAAATTTAAAACAGCAACACAGCTCTCAGAAGTCAAGGCCTGAAGACAAAAGAGGCAAGGATTAATAACAATAGGAATGGTAAGAGTAGTAAGGAACAGTTATTACACTAACAAGGTGATGCATCGTGGGCCCCTAGGTAGTCTACACAAGAAGATGATTCAAGGTGGGAGCTGGCCACAACACAACCATGTGATTAGAAGGCTGGGGCTTTGGGCCACATGATACCAGCCTGATTTCCAGGGAAGGGAGAGAGAGATTGAGTTCTACCATGTGGGCAATAATTCAATCAATCATACCTGTGTAATGAAGCCCCAGTAAAAATTCTGGGCACTGAAGCTCCGAGAAGCTTCTCTGCTTGACAATACTCTTTGGGTATTGTCACACTTAAATGCTGGGAGGGTAACACATCCTGAGGACGATGGAAGCTTTGCATTTAGAACTCACCCACACTGAGCTCCATCTGTATCTTCCTTTGGCTGGTTCTAATTTGTATCCCTTGCCAAAAATAAATGTGATTATGAGTTTAATAGCTCTCAGAGAGTTCTGTGGTCTTTCTAGCAAATTATCAAACCTCAGGCTAGTCATGGGTACCTCTGAATTTATAGCCCGCTGATCTGAAGTGAGGGTGGCCCTGGGAACCTCCAAACTTTATACTGGTGTCTAAATGTGGGCAGGCTTCCAGGGACTGTGCCCTCTGACTGTGGGGTTTGCTAAACTCCTCTGCATGTGCTCAAGAGATTGTTATGATGACAGAATAACACAAAGAGGGTAAGTAATCTGCCTGAGGTCACACAGGGCGTAAGAGGAAAAGCTTGGATTCAAACATGGACATTGCAACCACCGCATTATATTGTTGCTCCGTTACCTCAAACTCAATGGAAAGAACATCTAATAGCACCTTGGAAAAGGTTTGCTTAGACCTGTTTTCAAATGCACTGTGATACACAGTAAGAATCTGTATTTCATAGGACTGCTCATTATACACACATACGCACACCTGAAACAAAATGTGACACGCTCTGACCTTTTCTAAACTCAATTATTTGTGTTTTCTAAATGCTATAAACCTACCATTCGATTTCCTATCAAGAATTTTGCACCAGCAGTGTAAAAATAGTACTTTCCAATCCTGGTTTTAAATTAGAATAACCTGGAGAATTTTTCAAGAAAAATGCAAAACCCAGGCTCCGCCCCTAGAGATTTTAATCCAATTAGTCTAGGATGGAGGTAGGGCATCAACATTTTGTGTTTTTAAAGTCTCTGGGTACTTCTAATGTACGGCCAGGAGTTGAGAACACTGTTCAAAAATATTATCTACATGCGATTTCAAGCCAATGCTTTAAGGAATAAATACGCTCTTTTATTTTAAAATGAAAATGCATGGCTAAATATGGTGACCCGGATCCCCTGAAGCTCACTTTCATAGCTATGGTACCTGTGGTAGTCTTATACCTAAAGTGCAAAAGCAACCGTTTGAGCAATTAAGAAATAAACATGAGAGGGGTGCCAGGGTGGCTCAGTCGTTAAGCGTCTGCCTTCAGCTCAGGTCATGATCCCAGGGTCCTGGGATCGAGCCCCGCATCGGGCTCCCTGCTCGGCAGGAAGCCTGCTTCTCCCTCTCCCACTCCCCCTGCTTATGTTCCCTCTCTCGCTGTCTCTCTCTCTGTGTGTCAAATAAATAAATAAAATCTTTAAAAAAAAAAAAAGAAAAATATGAGAACAGACTCTATAACTCTAAAGACATGTAGTAACACATTGGTGACTTTTCATTTAAAAGAGACTTTATTAATTATTAAGAAGAGAAAAAATATTTTCATATTATACAATTATAATTATGTGCATAATCTTTAGTTATATGTAAGTATATATAATCTTATATATTATATAAAATATAATTTATAAATTTGTAATGTATAAAAATATATAACATATTTTAAAATATGTATTAATACAACTGATATTAATAATATATAGATAATAGATAATAGATATATTACCATATAATGCCAAATTATTTTCCCAAGTTACTGTCTCAATTTACACTCCCAGTAGCAAAGTATTAGAGTTTGCATTGTTCTGTGCATTGCCAACACTCAGTATTGGACATTAATTTTTGCCAGCCTGATGGATATAAACTTGTACCTGAATGTATCTTTTCCTTGAAAATAATGAGGTTGAGCATTTTTCCATGTGTTTATTGTCTAATTGGGTTTTCTCTTCTGTGAAGTTCCTGTTCTGGTCTTTTGCCCATTTTGGTAACTTCTTACACGACAGCCTATGAAATCCTCTGAAAGCAAAATATGACATGGTGAGAAATCCAAAAGTATGTTTGTATGGAATTCCTTAATGTTTTTAGGTGATCATTCTAAATATACTGAATTTGTAAATTTAAGTCAGGCTATTGAAAATTATCCAAGGGGTTCCTGGCTGGTTGTTGGAGGAGCATGTGACTCCCAATCTCAGGGTTGTGAGTTCGAGCCCCACACTGGGTATAGAGATTGCTTAAAAATAAAATCTTAAGGGGCTCCTGGGTGACTCAGTCGTTAAGCGTCTGCCTTTGGCTCAGGTCATGATCCCAGGGTCCTGGGATCGAGCCCCGCATCAGGAAAATGATCCAAACTACCCACCTATCGCCAGGGCTTCCTGCTTTTTTCCATCCCAAATGTCCCTTTTATTTTAAAGATTTTTATTTATTTATTTGAGAGAGAGAATGAGAGAGAGAGAGAGCAATGAGAGGGGGGAGGGTCAGAGGGAGAAGCAGACTCCCCACTGAGCAGGGAGCCCAATGCGGGACTCGATCCTGGAACCCCAGGATCATGACCTGAGCTGAAGGCAGACGCTTAACCGACTGAGCCACCCAGGTGCCCCCAAATGTTCCTTATGACTGGGCTACATTTTTCTAGGAGGATCTCATAGTGGGATCACATGCAAGGCCCTGTGTTTACTGCAGGACATAAACTTAGGTAGAGAAGAAAAACTTCTGGCAAAACCAAACATTGTGGAGGAAAACAGATGAGGATATGATTGGAAAGTAGCTTGCCAAATTGAGTTTTCTTTATGCATCCACTTTCCTGACAGAGGATGAAGGTAAAGGTACAGACGTGAGTAGTGCAAATGAAAATCCTAATGCAAATAACAGTGACTTCAGGAATAGAGCTAAAGCATTAAGAAAGGAAGACTCACCTGACTGGGTCACATCCATAATAAATTAATCCCATTAATCATGTCTGTAGGGCACCTGGGTGGCTCAGATGGTTAAGCGTCTGCCTTCGGCTCAGGTCATGATCCCAGAGTCCTGGGATCAAGTCCCACATCAGGCTTCCTGCTCCTTGGGAGCCTGCTTCTCCCTCTGCCTCTCTCTCTCTCTCTCTCTGTCTCTCATGAATAAATAAATAAAATCTTTTAAAAAAATCATGTCTGTAATGATAGAACTACTGGGCTCCTTCCCCCGTTTAAGATTCCACCCCATTCTTTACAACCATTTCCTTGCATAAAGCTCAACTCCTTCATCCTGCTAACCCTCCAGTTCTCTCACCCAGCAAACCCCAACCCTACTGGTATTCTTTAAATAAAATATTATGTCTTTTCCCAAAAATGTTATGATTTAGTGTATTCTAAGGAGCTTTTTATAATTTGATTATTTCCCCCATTTCTTCAAACTCCTTAAAAGTTTTAAATTTTGTCTGTTTATACAGTCGTGTGTGTGTGTATGTGTGATAATCTATTTCAGTGAAGAAGTATGCTGTAGGGAAATACTTTGAAATATATTATCAGTGTTTCCACATTGCTGTGGTTTTCATTCAAAACCCTCTGTCACATTAATTTTTAAAGGCTCATCAACATAAAAGGAGGTGATTTACTTGATTATTTCTGAGCTTACCTTATCTTACCTTATTAACTGCTTGTCGATTCTATTTCACTATAAAAAGACAAATATTTCTGTTTTCATTGTTTTAGGGAAAAGCAACTCTAAATCTGAGAACTGTCCAGAGAAGGCAATTGTGCGCTCTAAGATAAGGGGAGACTGGAGCCAGATGAGCCGGTTCTGGTGGAGAGAGCTCCTGTCTGGCCTCCCACAGTGAGCTGACTGCCAATGGCAATGACCTTGAAATCTGGGGAAAATCTAATTCTGCTGAATCAGAGAACCTTTCTAAGACAAGAGAATGTGATGTTCCCAGCCACAAAAAAGAAAAAAAAAAACCTGCTCTTCCTGGATTTCCAGTGTTCTGGGGACCACAGTCCTCCTCCTCCCTCCCACTTTATCCAGGGAAACTTCTAAACATAATGGATACCTTGGGTTTATCTAGGCTAGACTAATATAATTAGACTGCTTTTTGAAATAAAGATAAAAATCAATAGCTCAGTTAAGTTCCAAAGGTAGTAAGTCTTTAAGCCCTAAAGAAGGCTAGAAAAAGGGGCGCCTGGGTGGCTCAGTTGGTTAAGTGTCTGCCTTCCACTCAGATCATGATCCCGGGATTTGGGGATCCAGCCCCAAGTCAGGCTCCCTGCTCAGCGGGGAGTCTGCTTCTCCCTCTGCCCTTCACCCTGCTCATTCTTTCTCTCAAATAAATAAATAAAATCTTTAAAAAAAAAAAAAGGCAAGAAAAAAATCCTAAAGATGCTAGGTCAGAGAAGAATCCGGGAATTCCTAAAATACAAGGGGACTCTGCCTCAGACAAATGATAAGCTAGAGCCCTCTACCTATGTCATTCTGATACTATATCAGAGTCACGAACTCACTGAAATCAGGAATTCTTTTTAGTGGACATGAGTTTATTTTCCCAACCTGTGATTTGGAAAAATTTCAAGCTTACAGAAAGTGACAAGAGTAGAACAAATACTCTATACACAATTCATCTAGAATCACTAATAGTTGACATTTTGTCATGTTTGCTTTATCTTACTCTTTCCATACACTCTTTCTTTCTCTCCTTTTTTCCTTTTTCCCTTCCTTCCTTCTCTCCATGGATCATTTATTTTAGTTAGTTACAGACTGTTGTGACACTTCACCCCTAAATCTCACAGATGTTTCTTCTTTTTTTTTTAATTTTTAAAAATATTTTATTTATTTAAGTAATCTCTATACCCCAACGTGGAGCTTGAACTCATGACCCCAAGATCAAGAGTCGGATGCTCTTCCAACTGAGCCAGCCAGGTGCCACTCACAGATGTTTCTTCTAAGAACAAGGACAAACTCCTACAACCATTATACAATTATCACATTGAGGAAATTTTGCACCAATACGAAACTATTATCTAATATACAGCCCATATTAAATTTCCCTAATTATTCAAATAATGTGTATCTTAGTTGTTGGTTTTTTCAATCCAGGAAAGCACGATGAATTCAGGATCTTTTTTAAAACAAAGAAATAATGACAGAGAAAGAAAAATAATTTAACTCTAAAAGTCATACTGGGAGCAGTGAAACTTTTCTTACTTGCAAACAAAATTAACACTGATGACTATGATATATAGTTGGTCAAAAATACATCTATAAGATGTAATAACCACACTCACCTGGAATAGGGTCCTGAAAACTTTACTACTGAATAGCACTAAAATAGAAAACATTTAATTTTAACAAGCATTTACCATTTGCCTTATTCTTTTTATGTATAGAGACTGAATAGAGTATCTTATATACCATTTCTATAGTTTTTTAAAGTCAATGAGATAAAGTAAAGCAACATAAAAGTCCTGTTTGATGAAGGAAATGGTATTGTAAAAATAAACAAAAACAACCAAAAAAAGGCACCTCATTTTTTATTTTTATTTTTATTTTAGATTTTATTTATTAATTTGACAGAGACACAGCGGGAGAGGGAACACAAGCAGGGGGAGTGGGAGAGGGAGAAGCAGGCTTCCCTCTGAGCAGGGAGCCCGATGCAGGGCTTGATCCCAGGACCCTGGAATCGTGACCTGAGCCGAAGGCAGATGCTTAACGACTGGGCCACCCAGGCACCCCGCAACCTCACTTTTTAAAGTGACACTTAGAGCAGATCTTTAACAAATTCCGTGTTATTTTCCTTGGCTGTGAAGCTGTATAAATGAGCTCTTTCTAATCACATGTAGTGATCACAAGTAGTGGGTCATAGTCTCCAAATCCCAAAAGGTATCAACAATTTTGGAGATGAAAGGATAAGGGAAAAAAATAACAATCAGTGTGACCTATAAAATTGTGTTTATCAAAGAAAGATCAAAAATAAAAATTGGAGTTATGTATCAAGTTAAATTTACAAAATAGATGATGTAGCATTCAATATTCTCTGTGAAAATAAACTATCTCTTTTTTTAAGATTTAATTTATTTGTTTTAGAGAGAGAGAGAGAGCACACATGCAAGCAGGGGGAGGGGCTAAAGGAGAGGGAGAGAGAGAATCCCAAGCAGGCTCTGAGCTGAGCCTCACACAGGGCTCGATCCCACCACCCTGAGATCATGATTTGAGCCAAAATCAAGAGTTGGATGCTTGGGGTACCTGGGTGGCTCAGTCGGTTAAGCCTCTGACTCTTGGTTCCAGCTCAGGTCATGATCTCAGGGTCTTGAGATCAAGCCCCGAGTAGAGCTTTGCACTCAGTGGGGAGTCTACCTCTCTCTCTCTCTCCCTCTTCCCTCCCCCCACTCACGCACTCTCTCTCTCTCTCTAAAATAAATAAATAAATACAATCTTTAAAAAAAAAAAAACAAGAAAAATTCTCTAAAAAAAAGAGAGAGAGAGACACTTAACTGACTGAACCACCCAGGTGCTCCAGAAATGAACTATCTTTAAAAATAGATTGCATATTAATGAATTTAATAGGAATAAGGAAATATGAAAATGCTAACCCCCTAAAAGCTAGATTAGATATAATTATTATCAGACAAAATAGACTTTAAGGCAAAACCATTACTAAGTATAAAGAGGGTAACTTCATAATGATAAAAGATTTTACTCACCAGGGAGATATAACAATTTTAAATTTATATGCACTTTATAACATAAGCTGGAAGTATATAAAACAAAACAAAAAGACATAACAGAGAAGGAGACAAAACAGAAATCATTGTGATGGATTTTAATGTACTTCTTTCATTAATTCCAGGTAGATTATAGATCTAACTGTGAAGGCAAAACAATAAAGCTTTTAGAAGGTGATTTAGGATAATAATTTCATGAACTTGAGGTAGAAATCAATTTCTTTAAAAAGATGCAAATATTTTTTTAAAAAGATGCAAATATTTCCTACCAAGACATAGGAACAGCACATTGACCATAAAAGAGAAAAAATTTAATAAATTTGACCAAATTAAAATGAGGAATTTTTGCTTATCAGAATACATAAAGTGAGAAAAAGTGTAAAATATTAAAAAAAAAGTGAGAAAAAACAAGCCACATAATAGGAAAAGATATTTGCAATACATACAACTAACAAAAGGTTTATACTGATAACCTATAAAGAACTCCGGGCGCCTGGGTGGCTCAGTTGGTTAAGCGACTGCCTTCGGCTCAGGTCATGATCCTGGAGTCCCGGGATCGAGTCCCACATCGGGCTCCCTGCTCAGCAGGGAGTCTGCTTCTCCCTCTGACCCTCTTCCCTCTCGTGCTCTCTATCTCTCATTCTCTCTCTCTCTCAAATAAATAAATAAAATCTTAAAAAAAAAACCTATAAAGAACTCCTATGAAGTCAAAAAGAAAAAGCTGAAGACCTAATAGGAAAATGGTCAAACATTTGACAAGTCTCTTTACAAACAGGAAACATAAATGGTTAACGTTAGAACATATGAAAAGATGTTCAATTTGATTAGTAATCAGGGAAATGTAAATTAAAACCACTGTGAGATACCATTACCCAGCTACCAGCTTGCCAAAACTTTAAAATCAGACAATGCCAAATGCTGGTGAGCATGGAACAGCAGGGATGCTTAGCGCATGGTATTTATATTACCAAATTTTAAGACATATCCCCCTAGAGATCCAGAAATTCTACTCCATATTATAGATCCTGGAGAAAGTCACATGCAGAGGCACCAAGACATATGACCAAGAATGTGCATAGTAGCATTGCTTGTGATAGCAATAGGAATGACTCAACTATCCATCAACAACTGAATGGATAAATAAAGTGTGGTATAAGTATACAATAGAATATTACTTAGAAAGTAAAAAAAGAAGTAATCAAATAAGCAATATATGATATAATATATTCTATATGTATTATAGATTATATAGATTATATAACATAAACTTTTATTTATATTAAATAATATCTAATATTTATATAGATATATGTACATATAATACATTTATAAATATATAAAATTAAATAGAAAATAGAAGAGCATCAAAGCTAAAAGTTTAGTCTTTGAAAAGACAAACCTCTTTAAAGACCAATCAAGGCAAAAAGAGAAGATACAAATAATATTGGAAATAAAAATAGAGGATATAACCATGGCTGCAGAAGAGACTTTAAAGATAGGAAGATATTTTTGAACAATTTTTTAAAAGAAATAGTTTGAGCAACTTTTCGTCAATGAATTTGAAAATAGAAAAATATGGCTTACTAAAACTGATTCAGGAAAAAACAGAAAACCTGAAGGATTTTTATAAGAAACAGAATCAGCTTAAATTATTCCTATAAAAGAAAACAACAGACCCAGACAATTTTAGCAGTGAGTTCTCTCAATAACCCAAGAAGCAAATAATTTCAGCCTTATACAAACTATTCCAGAGACTAAAAAGGAGAAACACACCCAACTCACCTTATGAGGCTAATTTTACTTCAACATCAAAAAACTTACTGAGACTACATGATAGGAAAATTACAAACTAAACTCATTCAAACATTGAAGCAAATATCCTAAACAAAACGTTAGGAAAAGGAATCTGGCAATACACGAAATGATAATACACCACATCTAAGTTGGGTTTAACTCAAGAACGCAAGAGGAGTGTATCAGTTACCTATTTTATTATTTCTCACGGTACTATGGGTTGGCTGGGCTGGTCTTGCCCCGGTTATTTTCATGGCTGCAGTCAGCTGAGAGTTCAGCTGGGGGTGGATGACCTTACTCACCTATCTGGGACCTCATTTGCGATGTCTGGAATGGCTGGGATTCTGGGCCTCTCTCTCCATGAAGGCTATCCTGAGCTTTTCCATGCTGAGAGAAGTGTTCTAAGAGGGAGAGAACAAAGGAACAAAATCCCTTGAGGGGTCAGAAATCACTGTGTTTCTTCTGCCACATTCTAATAAAACAAAACACAGGCCAAAGCAGATTCAAGGGGAAGGGGACTCTACCTCTTGAGGAGATGAATGGCAAAGTCACATGGCAAAAGAATACAAAGGATGGGAGGAATGTTGTAACCATCTCTGCAAACAATCTAAACATTGGTTTTAATATTAGAAAATCAATGGGCACCTGGGTGGCTCAGTTGGTTAAGCGACTGCCTTCGGCTCAGGTCATGATCCTGGAGTCCCGGAATCGAGACCCGCATCGGGCTCCCTGCTTGGCGGGGAGTCGGCTTCTCCCTCTGACCCTCTTCTCTCTCATGCTCCTATCTTTCATTCTCTCTCTCTCAAATAAATAAATAAAATCTTTAAAAAAAATTAGAAAATCAATTATAATATACCATGTTAAGAGCCAGAAAGCAACATATACGTATATAAAACCTTCTTTTCAATATGTGCAGAAAAGGCATTTAGTAAAATCCAATACCCATTGAAGATTTCAACAAAAACACTGCCATAAGAAAACAAGGAAGAGAATTTTCTTAACCTGATAACATGTCTCTACCCCAAAAAATCTACTCTGAATGTTACTGTAATCATAACATAACATAATAAAAAAAAGAAAGAAAGAAAGAAAATATTCCCTGTAAGACCAGGAAGAAAACAAGTGTGTCTTGTATCATTACCATTTCTAATTTACCTTACCGTTCTGGAGTCCTTAGCTCACACAATCATATAAAATAAATAAGCAAATAAGAATTGGAAAGGAAGAAATGAAACCTTCAATGAAACCTCCTTTTTTTTCTTTTTAAAGATTTTACTTATTTATTTGACAGCGAGAGAGACAGCAAGAGAGGGAACACAAGCAGGGGGAGTGGGAGAGGGAGAAGCAGGCTCTCCGCTGAGCAGGGAGCCCGATGCGGGGCTCGATCCCAGGACCCTGGGATCATGACCTGAGCTGAAGGCAGCCGCCTAATGACTGAGCCACCCAGGCGTCCCGGGTGCATCTCTTAAAAAAAAAAAAAAAAAAAAACGTAAGTGGAACAGTTAGCTTACAGTGGAAAATAGCAAAATTCTGCTCTTTTGATCCTCATTCCCAAATTTCCCCTCCTCTTTTTTTTTTAAATTTTTTTATTTGAGAGAGAGAGAGATGGAGAGAACAAGTGTGAGAGGCAGAGGGGGAAGCAGACTCCCTGTGGAGCAGGGAGTCCGATGCGGGACTCGATCCCAAGACCCTGGGATTATGACGTGAACCAAAGGCAGACGCTTAACCAACTGAGCCACGCAGCAGGTGCCCCCTCCAAATTGCCCCTCCTCTTAAGCAACTTCTCTGAATTTTTTTGGCTGTTTATCCTGGTTTTGCCTCCATGTATCTAAACTATGTGCTTACATCGCCATTTTTTTTTTCATTTTTTACTTTACCTATTATCTGTTGACTTGCTCTTATGGTAAATGGAGATTTACATCTCCCTCAAGTACAGGCATACCTTGTTTTATTGTGCTTCATGTTATGGCGCTTCACAGATACTGCGTTTTTTAGGAATTAAAGGTTTGCGGCAACCCTGTGTTGGGCAAGTCTACTGGCACCATTTTTTCCAACAGCATTTGCTCACTTCATGTCCCAGCGTTGTATTTTGGTAATTTTGCAATTTTTCAAACTTTTCCATTATTATTATATTTGTTATGGTGTTTGGTGTTTAGTGATTATGATTCACTGAAAGCTCAGGTGATGGTTAGCATTTTTTAGCAATAAAGTATTTTTTAAATAAGGTATTTTTTTTTTTTTAGATATAATGCTATTGCACACTTAACAAACTACAGTAGAGTATAAACATAGGTTAGGCACTGGGAAGCCAAAAATTCATTTGACTCACTTAATTGCAATATTTGCTTTATTGACATGGTCTGGAACTGAATATTTCTAAGATGTGTCTGTATATTCATTTAAATATTCTTCCTCATTCACATTTTCCCAAATCTGTTACATGGGCATTTTTGTTTAAATAAATATTTATTATTTATATTAGTATAGTTTCTACTATTCATAGCTGTGACAGTGTATACTATGATAACATTTCCTTTTTGAACAACTTTATGTTTTTTCCAGTATAAATAATTGCTTTGGTTTTTGTTATTTATTTGCTTAATTTTCCATGTTATAATCACTAATTCAATTCCAAACTATCCAATAGAGCTAAAAATAATTTCTGAATATATTAAAATACATTGGATACTCTATACGTTTAGTTTTCTCCCTTTAGTTTTCTCTCCAAGTATCTATCTTGGAGCCCTCTGTCTTCATTCTCTTAATTGGTACTGGTTGCTCACAAGGCCTGCTGCCCAGCTGTTATCCTACAACTTCCCATCACTGAAATCCAGGGAATTTTTTTTTCCCCTCACTTATGTGTTGAATCTTTGTTCCCTGGATCCAGTGTCTTTCCCTTTCTTGACTTCTTCCTTTTTTTTTTTAACATCATTTCATGTTTCTGAATACAGTGTCATGATTTTACTCACTTACCTGAGTGATAATTTGTCTATATATAGAATTTCAGATTGGATATAATTTGTCCTCAGAATTTTAAGCCACCACTCCATTTTTTCCCCCAGACTAATCTAGTATTCTTGTTTTGTTTGTCTTTGTTTTTGTTTTTGTTTTTGTTTTCTGAGTCCTGAATCGCTTTTCCTTCCCTTGGATTCTTGCTATGGCTTGTTTGTTTCTTTGTATATTTAGCATTGGTTGTCTTTGTCTTTCTTGTTTAAGTCTTTTTCAAATATCTAGTGATCTTTTGTTGTCCATTCAATATTGAACACACATATTCAGATTTTTTTAGGGCTATTCCAGGGAAGAAAGCTGAACCTTCTGATTGGTGGGTACATGGGGAGAGACCTATCAACATTCTGGCTTTCAAATTTCTTGGCACTAAGAGACTCAAGAGAGTGGGTGGAGAATTATCCTTTATTATATGGACTTTGTCTTAATCTCACTCTTTAGAGTATGATGCTTCTGCTTTGCCTGCCACTGTACTTGTCCCTGAATGGGGGCCTGTCTTTTCAATTTATCCATAGATTAAACCTCCAATCTTCTGCTTTGGGCATAGGAGAGAAATTAGTATGTTATATCAAAGAAAATAGTCAGATACTTCTGCATAGGAAAAGATACTGGGAAAAGGATATCTAACAGTTAAACACAGCAGATTGAACATATGGCACTTATTTCTGTTGCCTCCAGAAACTCTGCTAAAATGAGAATAGAATTTTTGAAATGAATAAACACAGTAAAGAGAGAACATGAACAGCGATGTAGCAGTCAGAGCTCTGGCAGAAAACAGAATGGCACACTCAAATGAGAACTGAATAGAATTTAATAAAACTATTTACAGAGGTGTGGGCAGGATTAAGAGAACCGACAAGGGATGGTGAAGTACAAGGGGACTAACAATATTTGGAAGCTATCACCATCTCTAGGCCCTAGGGGCAAGTGGGAAGAATGATGACTGGAACCTGGTAAGAGCTCTAGGCTTGGAAGAGAAGAACACTAACATAACATAATAAAATAAAAATTTTTTTAAAATAATATAAATAAATAAATAAATAAATAAATAAAAAAGAAGAAGAGAAGAACCCTATAGGAGCCACAAAGTTAGGTAGACGCATTGTGCCACCACCAAAACTATGGCATTCCAGGGAGAAAGTATGTGGGGAGAAGGGAGCAATGGGGATAAATACTCTTACATCTACAGTTCTATCTCCTCCCACTCTCCAGTTTTCTGCCAGTACCTCCAATTAGCTGAAACCAACTGGAAGCCAAAAGTCAAGGGAGCTTAAATCCATAGAAGTATCTTCTCTGCATGCAGAGCAGGGCAAAAAAAATAGATGGAGAATGGATTTGGAAGAGCAAAATGGATAAATAACACAAGCACAGACAAGAGATGTCAACAAATTTTTAGAAGATAAAAATTGGATAAAGGAGTTGCTAGAATTGTGAAAGCTTGGTACCGCAGGGGTATGCTAATGAGAAGAAAGCTGAAAGCACCAGAGTAGTTTGTAAATGCCCAGAATCTGGAGGCACCAGTTATCTCTAAAGGCAGAAATTAATGCAAAGCTGAAAAGAGAAGGACTGGTTGAAAAACTTTAAATGGCTTGCTCATATCCATAAAATTCCATTCTGCAGAGACAAGTGCGCCCTCTTTCCCACTCTAGCAGAAGACAGGGCGTCAGGAAACTTGCAGCATCTAGACACAGTAATACCAGACACAGCTGAAGGCAAGAATAATTATTTGTACGGGATTCAGAGGGAGGTATCACAATTCTGTTGGAGAGTTTAAGGTTGAACTAGTAATTATTACATAGAAAATTACTAGAACAGCCCACAGGCAATTATTAATTCCAGTATAGCTAGAAAGTTATGTAATCAGTAGTATAACAATAGAAGCATATTATAAATATTGATTTAAACAAAAACAACGTGAAACAAATATATTGGGAGGATGAAGGGAAGGAAGGGGATGTTAAGTATGCTAAATCCTGTTATTCCATAATATGAACTCAAAAGATAGCACATAAAGAGCAGTATAAGAATATTTTTGGAAATACAGAACTAAAAATAAGAGAAACAGCTAAAAGAATTCAAAGTTTTGTTTCTAGGGAACACATTTCAGAGATGGGAATGGTGGTTCAGGGTGCTACTTACTAATGTCATTATAAACCTTATCATCGTATTAGACTTTTTCTAATTATGTAAATATTTCACTTTCATAAAAGCTAAAGTAGCTTTTAAACAAAGGAAAAAAAGATATATGTGTTGCCATTAAAATAGTAAGGTTCATTCAAGGCCTGGAGAAGAAAAAACAAAGCAGAGGAAATGCCTAAGGGAGGGCCATGTGGTGGAAGACATACTGGGTCTTATCAAACCCCTCAGAATTCAGATTCATTAAGTACTAATAGAAGTTGCTATTAACTTGTAAAGACAACAGAAATACCTTTTAGATATATAAGAGCCTATCCTAAAACACTCTTCAGAAAAGAACTATAACCAAATGAGAGATTAACCAATTGTAAATGTAAGGTAATGATGGAGTAGTTCCTATCAAATCAACTTTCTAGTGGATAATAAGTATAAATTCTGAGAAAAATTGTAAAAAACAACAACTTGAAAGCACTGGGGAAAAACCAAACTCAGGCCAAAAGTAGGTAGTAGGAGTATTTACATTTGAAAAACAGGAAT